AAGACAATCACATTTCTAATTAGGCTGTGAGTACCTTCTGAAAGCTACCTAACCAAATGTCAAAGATGGCATTTAATAGTTATACTTGCTCAAATATGTAGCTGGCTCATCCTTAAAAAATGTAACTCTTCTATTGTTAGGATTTGAAAACCTGAAGATGTTTCAAATGCATAAAAAATTTTCCACAGGATTGCATATGTAAAGAATACCCCCTAGGTACTCCTGGAAGGAAATCTGAATTTCTAGAGAAACCAAGAAAGAACTTTGAATAAGGTTTTGAAGATAAACTACAGGGTAGCCCTGTAGTTCGGAGACCATATGCTTAGAATTCTGACACTGCTTAATTACACAGGAGGATTAACACATTGTGATTTTCATAGAAAGGACAAAATAGAAGCAAAGGTATAATTACATGAGAAAAGAAAATTTCATTTTCAAATACTTGTAAGTATAGGCAGTTGTTATAGAAAAAGAAGATAGTAGGTCTAAGTGAAATAGCACACCCTGGCATTTCCCAGGTGCAGTTAGACTGTAAGAGATCTAACAGTGCCATGAACTTGTGGAGGACTAAAGGCTAAATAGATCCATCCACAGCCTCCTATACTGTCTAGGTACTTAATGTTTTTGTGCTTCTCTTTCCTCATCTATAAAATGGAAATATTAATCGCAGCATCTCAGGAGTGTCATATGAATTAAATGAGTTAAAGTATGTACCAAATTTAGGATAGTGCTTGGAGGATTGTAAATATTCAGTAAATATTCCTCCCCTGCCCCCACTCCCTTCTGTTTCTCACACAAACAAGGAACAAGCATGTTATTTGATTAGAATCATGTGCTAAGGTTAACATTATAAACATGCAGTCAACAACATTTCAGTTGGAGATCACATGTTGTCTCTGTGATGGATCTCCTGAGTTTTTGTACTCAGCCATTTTCAATGGTCAATCCTTACTAAAGAGGCCTTCCTTAGCTATCCTTCCTGTTGTTTATACTTATTTATGGTCTTGTCTCCAAATTATTTAGAGAGCTTAGAAGCTCCTCAACCCTGAAGGCTAATAAAACTTCTTCAAACTTCTTGCCTGAAATTTTAAGAGGTTCTACCTAGACTCAATCCAAATGCATCAGGAAGTGCAACGCACAGCTGAAGATTCATTAAGAGTGACGTAGCAGATTGTAGCTTAGGCTGGCTCCTCTGCATGAGAAACCCTGTTGAGTGACTTTGGTGTCCAGCTGCTCAGAAGTATTTAATGCTTTCATGTCAAAGATGAAGGAAAGTCTCCTGCAAAGTGAATGTATAATCATGTCAGCTATGGATTCCACTACAAAACTCAACTACCTTAAACCACAGAACTCAGAGTTGAGGTGATCTCAACTCAATTCAGAGAGGAAGAAAGAAAAAGAGACAACGTATGGAAGGGCAAAGTCATTGGTTTCCAGCTATTGACTCCTTTGAAGAATGCCTTCCGCTTTTCCAGGGACCTTATGACCTCTACGTTAAAATGCTCCCAAGAACTTTCAATTAAATCAAGAAATGTGAATTTGTCTGCAACTGTTGTTGCAGCAATGCACAAAAATGTATTAGCTTGATGTTTTTTAAAAAAACCACTCTCTGAAAATGTTAGAAAACATTTAAATTAGGCACACTTTCTATTATCTCAATCTTGCAAAAAATATGAAGTTGCAGGAGAATGACAATTCTGAGTTACCTTTTCAACATGCATAATTAACTAATGAAGTTAAAATTCTACTGGCAATCCTTCTGGCATCTCCACATTCCAGAATATAAATAGCTAGGTAGAATGCCGTCTTAACAAGGATGTTTTTAAAAGTAATGTGTGATTTGTTCAGGCCCTCTTTTGAAGAAACATTTATCTTAGAGTTGGTCAGGCTGGTGTGTTCTAACCTCACTTCAATGTTTTTAGGAAAGGTACCTTATAAACAACCCTGGGAATGTAAAGAGTTTAAGTCTTTGGTGACATTTTAAAATTCTGATGAATACCTACTGCACACCAATTATCTAAATGTCATCTGAAAAATCCAACAGTTTCTAGTATACCAAAAATCCTACACTTAACTCTTGGGATTTACTTAATTTGATCTCTCAGCACCATAAAGCAGTTCAAATACACTACTTTATAGAAATCTTCAAAGTTTTATAGTTGTTTGAGGCTTTAAACAAAACTGAGGATTTTCTTTGGGATAACTGGTAACATTCTAGAAGACTCTATCAAAGTCCATCCTGCAAAATATTAGGTCCATGTATAAAGGTTTTATGATCAAATAGTGGAGAGATGCCAGGTATGAAATCTTTATAACCATCTCAAATATTCTGAATGCATATTCTCTGAAAGCTGGAATTCATCTAAGTCTTGTTCACAGTGATAGCCCCAAGCCTGCAACAGTGCTTTGCAATCAGGAAGCACTCAGCACAAATTAGCGAATGCATGGACATTAAAGGCTTGGCCAGCCTTCAGCAAAGAAACTTTCATTTTCTTTCATTCAGAGTATTTATATCCACCTGATCATAGGAATCTTTCATTTTTTCCTGTTAGCACTACAGAATATTTTAGGCATACAAAAGAAGAAGAAGGAAAAAAGGAAGGAAGGAAGGGAGGGAGGGAAGGAAAGAAGGAAAGAAGGAAGGAAGGAGGGAGGGAGGGAGGGAAGAAAGGAAGGCAGGCAGGCAGGCAGGCAGGAAGAGAAAGAAAGGAAGAAAGGGAAAGGAAGAAAGAAGAGATGAAGAAGAAACAAGAAAGGGTAGAGAAAATAGAACATACGAGCATTGTGGTGTAGCAGAGCTGCTGCCTGTGATGCAGGCATCCCATATGGGCACCAGTTTGTTTCCCGACTGCTCCACTTCTGGCCCAGCTCCCTGCTAATGCCTCCCACATGGCACAACCAGACAAAGCTCCTGGTTCCTGGCTTTGGTCTGGTGCAGGCCTGACCATCATGGCCATCTAGGGGATGGACCAGCAGATGTTTGAAAGTGAGAGTCAGAGAGAGGATGAGAGAGAGAGAGAGAGAGAGAGAGAGAGAGGAAGTCTTCCACCTGCTAGTTCACTATCCAGATGGCTCCCAGGGCTGGGTAGGCCAAATACAGGAGTCAAAGCTTCTTCCACGTCTTCCACGTGGGTTTTCCCAGGCCATTAACAGGGAGCTGGATAGGAAGAAGAGCAGCTGGGACTCGAACTAGCACCAACATGGGATGCTGACATTGCAGGTGGCAGCTTTACCCATTACTCCATAGCACCAGTACCAATAAATAAAAGAAGCTTCTTGGGGAGCCTCGTTCATTCCATTACCCTCAGATCCCAACCCTCAGATCCCAAATCCTTTCTGAAAATGAGGTGACCCCAATATTAAGGCATATGTTTACAAAATACTGGGACCTCCTGAATTGCAGGATTGCTATGGTCTCTTCAAGTACTAAGCTTGAATAGCTAACGTATATTTTTTAAGTGGCCACCTAAAAAGCTAACCATTTTCTGCACTGATACAATATTCAATATGAGATGAGTGAAATAAAACACTACAGTACAGATGCAAGACAATGCACAACTGATGTAACTATAATCTTTTATGAAGAGGCTCAGGAATTTCTCTTTCAGATGGACTGATGAGCAATCTAAATATAAATGAGGGTACTTCAAACAGTTGGTACAAAAATAGAATTAAAGTAGAATTAAAATAGAAAAAAATAAAAGCTGAAATCTATGCATAGTTTTTCATGATACCAATTTTCCATAGCATTTTGAAGCCCCTCAGGTGTGTGTGCATAAATGTGTGTGTGTGCGCATGCGTACATGTGCAAAAAAGTACTGATTCTTTAACCTAGGTTGAGTTATTTAGGCAAAACATCCTTAATAATGTATACACTGGATTGTGACTGAACAAATCATCTGGGGATACAAAAGAAAAACCATGCCTAGATCAGTAGTGTCACAACGTGCCACATTTACATAATAAATGCTGCCGGTGGAGACCCCCTCCCTGAGTTGAATAAACAATACTTGAGACTTTTATCTCTTTTATGAAGATCCAGCACACCCCATGGAAGCACACAAGAGTCAATATAGTACAACAGGAAAAGAATCATTTTCAAAACCATAGTGCTTCCATAGTATGGTTTGGGTAGAACCTTTCTCCTAAAGTTTTCCAATACTAGGATAGATATTTCTAAATTGTCTTGGAAAAAATTTAAATATTTTCTAATAAGACATTCTTTTAAAGCTTTAATTTTTTGTTTATTTGAATGAGAGGGAGACAGAAATCTTCCCGTTTGCAGGTTCACCTCCAATTGCCTGCAACATCCAGGGCTAGGCCAGGATATGGTCAGATGCCTGAAGTTCAATGCAGGCCTCCTATGTGGGTGACAGGGACCCAAGGACTTGAGCCATCATCTGCTATCTCCCCAGGTGTGCAGTAGCAGAAAGCTGGATTGGAAGCAGAGCTGGGACTTGAACCCAGGCACTCCTACATGGGAGGCAGTATCCCAAGAAGCACCTTAACTGCTCTGCCAAACGCTTGTCCCCCATGTATTTAATTTTTGTCTTTTGTTTCATAGAACATATAAAAAATAGTACAGATAATAGGACAACGTATTTCTAAACTTATTGCTCTATTTATGTATTAAAGGGAGGGTGGACCAACCAGTCAACTTAGTGCCTAATATGACTGGACCTCATATCTGTAGCTATATAGATGATAATCATGCATACAGTTAAAACAAGGATTCCGGCAACAGCAAATTGCAAGATACATGGATGAATTTTCAGTTTCACAATCAGTAATCGATGTCACATAATTTTATAAACAAACACAAGAATTACGATTTCATTTTACTTTGCAAGCCAACACTCTGCATTCTTCCCATGTTAAACACCAACAGAGAATGATATATAACCTCATTCTATATTTGGAAGCCTTTAAGTCATCTTTCATATTAAAATAAATGAAGTAAATTAGTATCTAAGTACTTTAATAAAAGTGTCAGTTCCTACCTCCATTGTCTTTTAGATGTAGTGCTATCTTGGTATCATCTGCAAGAGAAATTCAAAGTTATTATAACAGAAAAAGATTTTAAAGGTGCATAAATCTCATGGCCAGTAATTTTCTACCAACAGCTTCACCTATTATATGGCTAGGTTATGACAATTTATTGAGGACATTCTAGTGCATTGAGAGCAGAAACTAGCTTTACATGATGTAGCACTAAAATTTCTCATGAGATTGTAAGATCACAACTTCACTAAATTCTTATACGACTCTTAAGTTCTGTGAGGAACACTAACTGTTACAATTACAAAAACATACCTATTTTTAATTTTCTATCATAGCTTACTTTAGGTAGACACTATAATTATAAGCTTACTTTTTTGTTTTTAAGGTCAAGATCAAGAAAGTACAAATTAATAGGAATAGCCAGGATTAGTTACTATTTAAAATTCAAAAGTAAATTGCTTATTCATTGGTAGCAAATAGGATGGCAATCATACATGAAAAGATCTCCTGAATGAACAAACTGTAGGATAATTTTTTTTTATTCCAGTGGGAATATTTCATTCTAAAGGGTGGGGTTTAAATTGTGACAATATTTTCACAGGCTTCAATATACCAATCCAAAATAATAAGGATTGTTGCTTATTACAATGTTGCTTTTAATTATAATATTGCTTTGAAAAGCAGTAAAATGCATTTAGCTGCCTTCCACTTTATTCTAGTCACCTATAAGATTCATTTAAATTTCAGTTAACCAAGTTTTACATTTAATTTTTTATTCAAACAAAAATAAGGCTTATGACCATAAACAAGACTATTTTTTCCCTCAAAGCTGATTCTTGGTCAACTGATCTATTTTTGCTTACCTCCTAGTGATACCCTTTAGAATACCAAGTGTTGGCTAAGAGACCTTTTTCCCCCATGAGCTGTGCCCCTGAATTAACACTCTCTAGTATTTTTTACTTTCCCGAGAAGTGTAAATATTTTTCAGGGACAGTTTTTGAGACCTATAAGTGCCCCTGTATAAATTACAGACCAACCTATTCTATTGACTATATTCAGGGAGATACTAGAAGTGGATATACACAGAATTGTCTACTGGTTAGAATCCCAAATCAACAGAAAATTGCATATGCATTTTGCCTTTCTAATGTGGAGCTCTAACGTGGAGATGTTGAGTTCAGGGATCATTAAGTTTTCCACCAGAAATCAAGCCTGTGTCTTTTCTAGGGAGATCAAGAAGCTAAGCACCACTGGTAAAAGCCATCTTACTGAAAGGCACAGCAAAGTAAACTAATTCCATCACAGATTTTTAGTCTATAATAATCTGGTGCTTTTCCTTTTTGGAAACCACTTAGAAATCCCGTTTGTTGAAGAGTGACTGTCCATCTACAAAGCTACCCCAGGGCCCATCAGTACAAGATGCTTCTCTCCTGCAGGAAAAAAGTCAGCTATGCCTGGGGCACCTTCTGTGGGCAGGCTGGTGGGCAGCTGGGATGTGGCTGCTCTTCTGGTGGTGGTCAAGACCCTGAACTGTGTGGTGGTCGATCTGACGGTCGTGGTGGCTTGGGAAGAACTTTCCACTGGCCCCGAGTTCTCACACATCTTCTCTTTTGACTAGAAAGAGAAGCAAAAACGAAACCAACTGAGTAACCACAGTATGTTTTTATTATTTTTTAGTTAAAAATATTTATTTATTTTTATTGATAGGAGAGGTGGAGAGACAGAGAGAAAAAAAAGAGAGAGAGCTCCCATCTGGTGGCTCATTCCGCAAACAGCTGCAACAGCCAGGGCTGGACCAGGCTGGAGCTAGGAGCTGGGAGCTGGGAGCTGGGAGCTGGGTTTTCAATCCAGGTCTGCCATGTGGGTGGCAGAGACCAAACACCTGAGCCATCACCTACTGCCTCTGAGGGTGTATTAGTAGGAAGATGGAATTGGCAGTGGAACTGGGACTTGAACCCAAGCACTCTACCATGGAATGTGGGCATTCTAAGAGGTATCCTAACTGTTAGAGTAAACGCCCACACACACACACACACACACACACACACACACACACAGAGAAAACCCAAGAACAATGGTTTTCTTCCTTTAGTTTTCTTTTTCTCCATCACTCCAATCTCTTTTCAATAACTTTAAGTCTCTTGCTCTATTTTGTGTTTTGTTTTCTACAACATTTAGAACATCCTTAATAGTGAATATTGTGAAATATCTGCCTTTTTCATGTTTGCTCTGAAGCCCAGCACAGCTGCAGAAAGATCACACAGCCCCGACTGGGAGCTCCACAAAGTGATCTCCTGCACCCTCGCAGGACTGCACACATTGCTTGGCAATGCTGCCCTGGTTTGCTAATCACCTCTTCCTTTAGCCTCAGTTTCTATTTCAAACTCTCTCCACTCGACTTGAACCCCATGATGATTCTCCCAATTGTACTCCAGGAGCTAGCCTTTTATTTCCCTGATAGAGATGTCAAACAACAATTCCCCGAATTTCCTTATGAATCAGCATACTTACTTGACTCTGTGTTAACCCATTCATCCCTCCTGTTGCCATGCATAGGGCCTGTTCTTGTTGGCTCTTCTCTCAGCCTGTGCCCAGCTCAGCCTGCCTTCTTGGGTATCATGAACTTGCTCATTGGATCACAACATTTTTTTCCTCCTCAACATTTGTCTTCTCTAATTCTCTGCTAACTTGCTATCAGCACATAAACATATCAAGAATGTGCAATCTTACTGCACGAACTCAGTCCTCTCTCTTCTCCATAATGCATCTGGATTCTACCCTACTTTCCCCTCCACACAAAGTCGTACTTCTCAGACTCCTCAGCTACTCTACCTGTGGCAGCCCTTTTCTTGCCCACTTCAGCTTAGTTGCAGTTTCTCATTCCAGTGTTTCTACATATCTCCCAAGGTAATACATCTTCCATGGTGTTTGCACTAGTAATATTAAATCAACTTTGGATACAGAAGTCAGAACACTCTCATCAATTTTTGGATACCTCCCCAAGAACTTCTCTATGTCTTTTTAATTTTGTCTGTCCCTTACGTGTTGGTGAATCTTACAGATCCTTCTTGATCTGTTGTTTCACTCTATGCATTCCCATTAACAATCTCTTCAACACTCGTGATTTTAATCAATTTATTTTTTAAAAATATATTTACTTTTTTCAGAGAAAGGGAAGGAAGAAGGAAGGAAAGAAGAGAGAAAGAGACAGACAGAGACTCCAATTTGCTGTTTACTCTTCAAATGGCCACAACAGTTGGGACAGAGTTGGGCAAAAGCTGGGAGCTGATACAGGACAAATGCCCATCCCTCAAGTAACCTCTTTATGCTGGTTATTCATCAATCTATAACTCTAGAATTTCAAGACCAAATATTCATCTGTTGACTAGACATACACATGTAGATGCCACAAGTAACTCAGACTCAAGAAGTCTACAGTGGAACTTGCCATTCATCATTCTCCCCTGTATCTCTAATCTCAATGAGCAGTACTATCAACCACCCTAAAATGAAAGGTGAAACCTTGGACTCTGTTTATGGCAGTAAGGTGGAATGAAACTATAAACAATCTTGCTGTTACAAAACAAGTAGATTCTGGATAAAACATAAAATTTTAGAGCATTATTAGAACTTTCAGGAAATAAAGAAAATCTCTAAGGGTATCTTTCCATTGTCTCCCCTATGGAAGAGAGAAGAAAGATAGAAAGAAAGAACTCATGAACAAATAGATGAGATTTCATCAAAAATTCATGAAAAATGTGTATTGCAAGAAAACTACGCATGGATTTCAAAACTTGTTGCACAGAAACAAACTCATTTAATTATATTTTCCATTATTTTTTGAAGTATCTTCATATTTTGGTAAAATTTTTAAAAGTAAAGTTTATTTATTTGAAAGGCAGAGTTGTAGCAGGGAGTGGAGGGTGGGTTGGGAGAAAGACAGAAAGAGAGATCTTCCATGCACTGAATCTCTCCAAATGGCTGCAACATCTGAGGCTGGGCCAAGTGAAAACCAGGTATATAGAATTCCATTTGAGTCTCCCACATGGGTGACAGGGGATTAAGCATTTGGACTATCTTCTTCTGATTTCCCAGACATATTAGCAAGGAACTGTATTGGAAGCAAGTGGCCAAGACTTGAACCACCATTCCCATATGGGATGTTGGCATTGCAGGCAGTAGCTTAACCCATTGTGCCACAATGCTGGCCAATTTTGCAAAATTTTGGAATCTACACTTAGTTTTTCTTAACATGCACTGTCCACAAGACCCTTCAAACATTAAGTAAAAATGCAAGGTTTGTCTTGGGAGATTGAAAAAAAAAACAAAATCAAATATTGTTCTAAGGAAATAGAGTCTTGTGTCAGTAGTAGATATGGCAACTCCATCTAAACCTCTCCTTCTCATATCAGGAGAGATTCCTAAAAGCAGCCCCTACTACTTCGATAGTTCCATCATTAAATCCTTGTCAGCACACAGCCCCTACAACTTCGATGGTTCTATCATTAAATCCTTGTCAGCACAAAGTGCCATCTCGTTAGGTCCTATGGATTCTCATGGAATGAGAGGAAACTACCATGCACTTTCAAATAAAAGACAGGAAAAAACATAGAAAGAAAAAGAGCAGTCTGGCAAAGATATTCAGTTCATCAGAACTTTAGCTATTGGAATCATCTAATATGGAATACAGAAAAAATATATATGGAGGGGCTGGCACTGTGGCATAGTGGGTAAAACTGCCGCCTATAGCGCTGGCATCCCATATGGGCACCGGTTCGAGTCCTGGCTGCTCCACTTCTGATCTAGCTCTCTGCTATGGCCTGGGAAAGCAGAAAAAAATGGCCCAAGTCCTAGGGCCCCTGCCCCCCATGTGGAAGACCTGGAAGAAGCTCCTGGCTCCTGGCTTTGGATCGGCCCAGCTCCGGCCAACGCAGCCAACCAGGGAGTGAACCAGTGGATGGAAGACCTCTCTCTTTTGTTCTCTCTCTCTCTCTCTCTCTCTCTCTCTCTCTGCCTCTCCTCTCTCTGTGTAACTCTGACTTTCAAATACATAAATAAATCTTTTAAAAAATATATGGAATATTTAAACCAATGAAAATATAAAATTTAAAAATGAACTGGTAACATGAGATGATAAAAATAACCAGGCAGTTTTAACAAACTGTAAAATTAAACCTATGTGTTCAAAGTAGGACCTCCAGACAGATTATGAGATCAATCATGAAGATGGGAGAGTACATTGGCAAATGTAGCAGAAGAAATTCTCTGGAATGCAGCACAGACAAATAAGAAAATATATGATACAAAAATATAAGGAAAAGATGAAAAGGCCAATTATATCTTCAAAGACTTCACAATGTAAGCACATTGATCATGCTAGACAACCAATGAGGAAACACACATAAACCATATGTATAAATTGCCTATGTACTAGTTTATGATAAATGTCCAATCAATTTCAAAGAAGTCAATAAAAAATCAAGAGGTCCCAATAATTTGGAAATGTGACATAATTCATAATTCAAGTAACCCCAATAAAGATGTTACTAACATTTATTGATTGGGATCAGTACTGTGATGTAGTAGGTTAAGTTACCACCTGCAGCACCAGTAACTGATATGGGCACTGGTTTGAGTCTAGGCTGTTCCACTTTCAATCCAGCTCCCTACTAATGTGCCTGGGAAACAGTAGAAGATTGCTCAGGCACTTGGGCCCCACTACCTATATAGGAGATCTGGAAGAAGCTCCTGGCTCCTGGCTTCAGCCTGGCCCAGCCTTGGAGAGTGAACCAGTAGAAGGAAGGCCTCTCTCTCTCTCTCTCTGCCTTACAAATAAAATAAATAAATAAATCTTCTTAAAAAACATATACACAAATAAAACTAGCCACTAAAAGGTTGATAATTTAAAAAATTCAACTGAGAAGAAATGTTAATTAAAATCATGGAGAACATGAAAAAAACCTAAATCTCATAGAAAATATATAACTTGAGGAAATGAGTTGAGCAATAAAACAACAAAGTAAATAAAAGACAAAAAGAAATAGAAAGTAGGAAACAAGACTCATTATTTAAAAATGATATTATTAAATAGAGAACCAACAATATCTTCAGATATTTAATTAATACTTCTGATCAACAGATACATATTATTCAGAATTAAAAGAAAAGGATTACCATTCAATAGAAAAATGAGAGCAAGATATGACACAGAAAAAAGACACAAGAAAAAACCCAGAAGCCAACAAGTGTATACAAATGTGCCTGATGTCATTAATGATCGGAAAAGTGCAAATGCCATTCACAATAAGAACTATTTCAAGCCAGTCGGATTTGCAGAAATGAAAAAAATCTGATAGTACCAGGGTGGTCTGGAGTATGAAATAATAGGAGCCCACAAGAGTTGCATCACTGAACTATAAATTTGGTGTTATTTTTCAAAGATGAACATTTACCTAACTCACATTCAATAATTCCACTTTTAGGAAAAAAACAGTTGGGTGACAAAATGTGACTGTATGGATTTAAGTGTCAGAAAGGCAACGTTTGGTGGTAAAAACAGTTGGGTGACAAAATATGACTGTATGGATTTATGTGTCAGGAAGGCAAGGGTTGGTGGTATTTGGCTTGTTTTTTTTTCATTTTTTTTTTTAAATTTTTTAAACTGTTGCATCACATTACCTCAAAGCACCTGGGATATTATGAGCACACAATAAACCAGCCAGCTTCACAGTCACTGACAATTCTTGTTCTTAAATTGTGGAGCACAGTCATGGATTCATTTTTATATTATGCTTTAGAGCCACATTAATGTTCTAAAAATGTCAAAAAGATATTTTAAAAGAATATAAAAAGGAGGAAAATGTAAAAAAAAGCAAAAAATTTTGACTTCCACAGTTCTCATTTCTATTCCACCAAATATTGATTATTCTACTACCACCACCATCACCATGGCGCCCACCCTGTTACCGCTGATCTAGCCCAGATCACCAGCATCTCTGGCCCACAGATAATTAAATGCCTGAAGATACTGTTGGCTCTCTACTTAATAATATCATCTTTAAATAATGACAGTTTTGTTTCCTACTTTCTATTTCTTATGTAGCTGCCTCAGAATTCATTATTCACTCACAGCCAGGGTGATTTTTCCAAAAACCTATTTATCTGGATATTACACATTTAATTGAAACCATTCAAATTGCTCTTCCTCACCTTCAACTTGGCACAGTTAGGACCTGGACCATCTCCCCATTCTCATCCCTCACCGTGTCTCTTCTTGTCCCATGAACATCAGCTTCCTTTGACAGGATTACCCACTTGCAGCTACGCTCTTTGCTCTTGTTCTCCCAGGGCAGTTCACTGACCCTGGTGGGCACAGTGGTCTGAGCACCCTGCTGGACACATGTCTCACACTTTCAAGGATCACGGCTTAGACCACTGCAGGACAGTCGTCCAAGTGGCCTTGAACAGACCCAGTTCTCCCCCCCCACCAAAGTTCTGGACACTAACTGCACAATGTCCTAGAATGCAGCATCTTGAGATGGGGCGGGGGTCAGCTCCGTCCCAGCAACCCCTAAGAAACAGGAGATCCTTCAGTACTGAACCCTAGCAAGTCCAGAGACCCCAGGGTGTAAAAGCCAGGCAGGCTTTTTGAGATCCATGTTACACAGTACCAGAGGGGCTCCTGCAGATGAGACTCCATCTGGCCCGGGTACATTCCTGAACCTTGTGGTCGCTTCCTGAACCAGTGACCCCCTAGGCTTCTGCTGTTCCTCACTGCCTAAAAGGAAGTAACAAGTCCTCTTTGGGTAATCTGTTTGCGTGTGGTGGTCTCTGTCGCCAGACTCAGGCCCAAATTTGTAACCAGTACCCATATGTGATAGGTGTTCATATTAGGACTCACAGCTAAAAAACTCATCTACAAGGTCAGAAGGAAAAGTTAACTCTAGTAAAAAGTAACAAAAGTAGACTGGAGTTGGTGAATTAGCTTACTTACCTATAAAGAAAGGGTAGAATCAATACTCAAAAAAGCTAGTTAGGTAATGTTGATAATTTAATTACAGAACAAAAAGGAAATAGTGAATATTACAAAATGCACTAGAGCTCCTTGGGAGGAGATGATTTTCGTTCACCTTTGTACATTACATTTAATGGTTTAGTGAAAAGAGAGGTGACTTCTCTACAAGTAGACTTAGGAGAGCTTATAGTACTGGTGAGCCTGCATTGGAGCCAGGAAATTAAAATCATCTGAGTTACATCCTCCACCTTTACACAAACATAAGCTCTCATTGTCAACATTTCTTCCTTAGGTAACTATGGTGATGTGACAGAAACAGTGACTGGAAAACCAACTAGAGCTCTAGCAATACATTTTATTTTTGAATTATGTTTTCAGATAAGTGAACTGAAATAGACAAATTAGGATTGGCATTGTAATTCCCCAATGAACATGAAAATGTTGATTAAAGTTGCCCTGGTAATATTACACTGAAAGCTCAAGAATGTTCATGAAGAAATGTTTCTCCAGATCTTTTTTTTTAAAGATTTTTTTTATTTATTTGAAAGGTAGAGTTACAGAGGCAGAGTGTGAGAGAGAAGTTTTCCAATCACTGGTTTACTTCCCAAGTGGCTGCAATGGTGGGAGCTGGGCTGATTCAAAGCCAGGAGCCTGGAACTTCTTCCAGGTCTCCCATGTGGGTGCAGAGGCCCAAGGACTTGGGGCATCGTCTACTGCTTTCCCAGGTCATAGCAGAGAGCTGGATCAGAACTGGAGCAGCCAGGACTTAAACCAGTGCCTAAATGGTATGCTGGCACTGTAGGAGGCAGCTTTACTTGCTACACAGCACTGGTCCCTCTCTAAGTCTTTGTAAGAAAGCTCTCCTAGACCACAAAAAAAAAAAAAAAAAAAGCTTCTGGTACCTCCTAACAGTTTTTAATACAGCACTACAGTGAATTGTCTCACTGAATGAGAAAACTTGTGTAATGGTTAATTATACTTTTATGAACCCTATATCCTATATATACTTTTATGTGACCCTGAGATGACTACGTAAATTCAGTTCACTGCAAGAATTGTAAACCATTTAGAATTGTTTCTGCAACTGTGTGTATACAAACAGCTTGGACCACTGCATTGCATCACTGTCCCTATCACGTCTGTCTCAGAGTTAATGTGGTATCACTTCTTTATTTCTTTTTTTTGACAGGCAGAGTGGACAGTGAGAGAGAGAGAGAGACAGAGAGAAAGGTCTTCCTTTGCCGTTGGTTCACCCTCCAATGGCCACCACGGCTGGCACACTGCGGCCGGCGCACCGCGCTGATCGATGGCGGGAGCCAGGTACTTCTCCTGGTCTCCCATGGGGTGCACAGCCCAAGTACTTGGGCCATCCTCCACTGCACTCCCTGGCCACAGCAGAGAGCTGGCCTGGAAGAGGGGCAACCGGGACAGAATCCAGTGCCCCGACTGGGACTAGAACCTGGTGTGCTGACGCCACAAGGCAGAGGATTAGCCTAGTGAGCCGCGGCGCCAGCCTGGTATCACTTCTCTCTATGACATGTTGTAGCATGTCTCCTCCCTTATTGTAATACATCAGCTCTTAATCAGTCTTTCCTCCTCTACCTCAGTTCTTATAATGGTTTCCTCGCCCTTAGAAAAGCTGCCCATGTTTAAGAGAACTACCCTTGATTCTTGCTTTCTCTAGTCATATACCTCACTCTCTGAGCACCCAAACTCCATCTGGTCTTGGTGACGTGAGGGTAACAGCAGAGCCTTCCTCATAGGGTGGATATGAAAATAAATTGGGATAATATATACCAAATAGTTAAGGCCAGTATCTGGCACACATTAGGGGTTCAGTAACTGTTGGCTCTTTTTGTTAAATTAGATACCATTTTCATCAATGTGGAGCACCAGTGCATGGCGACTTGGTCCCAAGAAGCTTGTTATAATAAAGCACGTGTACCTCTTCTGGGCATCCACTGTCCACCCAGTCCTGCCGATGGCGGTCAAATCCACTGGAACATCTTCAAAGACCACATTGCAGTTGCAAAAAGAAAGCACAGGATGCAGGGAGGGGACAGAAATTAAAGGAAAAAATTGGTTAGTGCTGATTCTTAAATTTCCAGCTTAGTCAAACGTCAGTTTTCTTCCACAGAACAGGTCTGGGGAGAAGCAGTGAGACACTTGGAGTGCTACTGAGTCGTCACTTCTTAGGCAGTCACTCAACACGACATGTGCCAACACATTACTGTGCTGAGGCCAACTACCTGGGAGAGAACACTCGGATCCCTGTGCAAAGGAAAAGCCAAACAAGATTCTACGGAGCTGGTTTTCTTCTGCCTCATTTTTTCCTGCTTCTCATCACCAAAGTACATAAACGGATACAAACTGTTTGCAGGTATCATTTTTCAAGATTTCAGAAATAAGTACATTTATTTATCTAAAGATCCACAGCTACTCAAACTCTTTCTCTATGGCCATGTAAATGATTAATTCAATAGTTTTGAAGTTTTCAAATCCTGCACATTCAAAAACAAACAGCCTTTCCCTCCCTGCCTCTGGGGGTGGGGTGGGGGGAATGAGCTCAAACTCCGGCTCTCGACCAGCTCCTGGGTGAAACCTTGGAACGCTCGGCCTGATGGAGGAGCATATTGCGTCTTACTCAATGCGAGGCAATTTGTGTTGACATTGTGATTGATGGTGAATGTCTGATTTTATTCACCTGGGGCCCTGGGCCACGCCGTACGGGCGTGACCTCTGGGAGGTCACGTCTGGGGGTAAGGTCACTCTCACGGGAAGGTCCAACCCCTCGTGACTGCCCCTCCAGATCAACCCTGGACAGCAGGCCTGGGAGCCAGCCTGGTTGGCGATGTCGCCTGGAGGGGGCACCACATGTAGGGTTCTGCAGGGAGGCGGCACCTGGAAGCTTGCGCCTGGCCCTCCTGGCTTCTGCCCTCCGTGCCTTTTCCTGTAGCTCACTTGACTGCATCTTCTTTTCCTGTGATAAACGGCAGCCTTGAGCACAACAGCTTTTCTGAGTTCTGTGAGTCCTTCCAGCCAACCAGGGAACCTGAGTGTGTCCTTGGGGACGCCCAATGCCATGGTGATTAGGTCACATCTGAAAGGTGATTTAACAAGCACCAGGCTCCTAAGGTTTTGTCCATTCATACTCTTCCTTGACTGCAGTAATTTTCCATTCCTACCCTGACACAGCCCCTCCATTTTTAAGGCCCAGAAACTACTATGCAGAGCATCTTTTGATAAAGTTTCAAAGCTGCTGTCTTACATCACTATTTAATGTTTCTTCTTCCAATAAATTTCATGTGTGGGGCCGGTGCTGCAGCGTAGTAGGCTGAGCCTCCACCTGCAGTGCCAGCATCCCACATGGGTGCTGGTTTGTTTCCAGGCAGCTCCTTTTATGCAGCTCTCTGCTTATAGTCTGGGAAAGCAGTGGAGGAGGGCCCAACTTCTTGGACCCCTGCACCCCTGTGGGAGACCTGGGAAAAGCTCCTGGCTCCTAGCTTCGGCTGGCCCAGTCTCGGCCACTGTGGCCATTTGAGGAGTGAACCAGTTGATGGAAGACCTTTCTCTCTGCCTCTCCCTCTGTCTGTCTGTAGCTCTACCTCTCAAATAAATAAATAAAATCTTAAAAATAATCTTATGTGCTGTTTCATTCACCAAACTTGATTGGGAACATTTTAAAGTTTAGGTTGGAGTCTTATATTGATCCTAGTTAGTATATTTGACAAATATGGATATATTTTCTGTATTAGAAATTCAAAATATGGCACTTGGCACATCAATTAAGAGGCTGTTTCAAGATGCTCCCACCCCATATTGGAATACTTAGGTTTGAGTCTCCATTCCAGCTTCCTGTTAATGCATACCCTACAATGGCTATAGTTCTTGGGACTTGTCACATATGTGGGTGATGTGTATTGAGTTTCAGGCTCCTGGCTTTAGCTTGATTCAGTCTAGCTGTAGCTGGCATTTGGAGAATGAACCAGTGGATGGGAGATCTCTTTCCCTCTCTCTCTCTCTCTCTCACACACACACACCTTTCAAATACATAAAAATACATAAACATTTTAAAAAAGAAATCCAAAATATTTTAGCCAGTTTATTAAAATTATCAATTCATATTGACCCTTTAATATCTAAATATATATTTATATCTAATAACCCATATTAATATATAGCAATCTAAATATATATTTTTAAAAATAAATGAAAGCCCCGGTTGCCCCTCTTCCAGGCCAGCCCTCTGCTGTGGCCAGGGAGTGCAGTGGAGGATGGCCCAGGTGCTTGGGCCCTGCACCCCATGGGAGACCAGGAAAAGCACCTGGCTCCTGGCTCCTGCCATCGGATCAGCGCGGTGCGCCGGCCGCAGCGCGCTGGCCGCGGCGGCCATTGGAGGGTGAACCAACGGCAAAGGAAGACCTTTCTCTCTGTCTCTCTCTCTCACTGTCCACTCTGCCTGTCAAAAAAAAAAAATAAATAAAATAAAAATAAAAAAAAAATAAAAAAATAAATGAAAGCTGTCCAACTTTTGTCTTTGAGTTCTTACAGTGCTTACAGTTTTGCTTTGTAAACGTTTCCCCCCGACTTGCTTTGCAATGTGTCCACAGGACGGCTTTTGCTAAAACTCCTAGCCAGAGATTATGTACCATGGCATGAATGAGCATAATCCAATTCAAGTGGAATGTGAAAACAACTCCACTGTCAACACAAAAGACCACATCCATCATTCTCTCCGGACACGATCCACTGATGCTCAGCTATTTTATGCCTACCATCTGTGTTCAACAAGCTTAAGTGTGGAATAAACATCAGTGTGTGATTTGGCATCCTAAGTCTGAAATCCCCAATTGGTTCAAGCCATCCCTGGTTACCCGAAGACACGCTGACGTGTGACATCTATTTACTTGCAGATCTGTTAGACAACAGTCTCCTCCTCTTCCTTCTTGCTTTCAAGTCTCTTCCAATACTGAAGAGTGTACTGACATTCTCTTTTGGAATATGGAAAATTACAGATTTTCTAAAAAAAATTATTTTTGGAGGAGAAATCTGACCACAATAAAATGGAACAGAAAATTTAAAAAATGTGGTTCATTTACATTAACTCCATGCCTGACACATCCAAAGCCAGGGGAATTTCTTTTACATTATATTATGACAATACTAAATCTTAAACTTACATGTTGACTTAGATTTCATCTTACAAAAATTAGTCCTTTTAATTGCTGAATTAATTCTAAGGAAGAGTACTGAAACACTGCAGTTTGCTTGATTTATTAAATAAGTCCTCAGTTACAATGTGTAAAATCAGCATCTGCTAATAATATGCAAGCCAAATAAGCAGTTCGTTCATGTATTTATTCAAAACTGATTCTCTATTAATTTATCTGCCATTTATTAAAGGTTTGGGCAGTAAAGACTGAGGATGGCAAAGCAAATAAAATTTGGCTTAAAAAGCTCACACATTTTATAGCTTACGGCGCCTTAAAAAATAAGTAAAACTGGACCCTGACTTTTCAGCGATTTTTATAAAGCAGTATTCTAAATAGCAACCAAAAATATTCACAAGCTAGGGTAGGAGTTACGGTACAATGGGGTTAAACCACCACTTGAAGTGCAAATATTCCACAATCAGAGTGCTGGTTTGAGTCCTTGGCACTCCAGTTCCAATCCAGTTTCCTGTTAATGCATCCTCAGAGGCCAATGGCTGAAGCGCCTGGGCCCCTGCTTTCTTTGACCCGGCCCAACCCTGGTTGTTGTGGGTATTTGGAAACTGTTGTAGGTATTTGGATGGAGGATTCTCTCGTTCTCTCTCTGCTTTTCAAGTAGATGAAAATAAGTAATTTTTTTAAAGCACTTATAAGCAAGAGCAAAGGCATGCGTCTTATATCATTAAAAAAAACCATCTTGATATTTCTTCTGGATTCTAAATAAACCCTGAATCACTTTTGGAAACACCTTCCTGTTCCCTGAGCTGCAGCTTTGTTTTTGTAAAAAAACATAGTAAGATTCACCATGTCACGCTCCAGCATATTGATTTCTTAACACTTTGTTTTTTCTTTTAAAAGGGAGATGAGGGGAAGAGAGAGCGAGAGAGACAGACAGACAGAAACTGAGAGAGCCAGCAACTGCTAGTTCACTCCCCAGATAACCACAACAGACAGGACTAGGCCCAGCTGATGTCAGAAGCCAGAAACTCAATCCAGGTCTCACATGTGGGTGGCAGGGTTCCAAGCACTTGAGCCATCACCTGCTACCACCCAGAGTCTGTGTTAGCAGGAAGCTGGAATCAGGAGCGGGAGCTGGAATTCAAACCCAGGCACTCCAATATGGGATGCAAGTGGTGTTCTAACTGGTAAGCCAAACGCTCTCCTACATTGGAGTCACACAGGATGACAGTTAAAATGCACATATTGCATGTAACTGAAGAGGCTCTTGCAATCGGGCACAGCAATTCTCACTGTAAAGAGGTGAGCCCAGGTGATTCTTACCATTTGGAAACTACTGCCTTCCTGAAGGATAGGATGAGGCTCCTTGCCACCCCCACAGCCCATCTTCTACAGCCTGCTCTCATCAACAGCCAATGGCTTGCCCTTCCCTGAATCTGCCGTGCACCTTCATGACTCTGCCTTTGAACACATGCCTGGGATACCCATGAGTAAACCCAATGCAACTCAAGCCTGAAGTCTGGGAAATCTCACTGTCTCCTCTCACCCAGCAGGGTTAGTGACCTATGCCCCAGTTTATCTTACAAGACTGCAGGGACTCCACGATTAAAAGTGAGGTTCTGAACTCAACACTGAGTACAAATTCTGGTTTGGGCATCAAATAGGTGTATGACCTCTGGCAAATTCTTTTTCTTTTCTTTTTTTAAAAGCTTTTTGATTGTATATTGCCAAATTATATTTCTATATATTTACAGGGTTTATAGTGTATGTAAGGCAGCATGATTAAATTAAGTAAATTAGCATAGCCAGCATCTCAAAAACTTACCATTGTTTTTGGT